CCCCAAAACCCCAAAACCCCAAAACCCCTTAGTGTCTGCATTACATTGGATTAAAGGATAAGATCCCTGTTTTGGTTCTTCTTCTTGAGGGATTTCAATGCTTTATTTACTCTTCTTTGGTACTCGAGCTCGATGTCGGATAAAGTCCCTATAGATGTCATTAGCAGTATTACTATCGTCTTTGGACATGGGAGGACTTTCAGCTGCAAACCTTACACGATAGCTTCCCCTACTGTTACCTCTTGATTTATTTTTAGAGTTTGAATGCTCATCATCTTTATAAAAATCTGAGAAATTGAATTTAACAGTTGATCTCTGAGCTGAACTTTTGCTATAACTTCCCTTCTTGACTGAGAAGAGGTCCTGATTTAGTATCTTAGATCCTTCCAGGTTACTTCCATCTTGATTAGTCAGGCTAATTTTATAACTGACAAATTACAGATTGATTTTCAAGCGACTTCTCAGAATTAATTTCTGGACTTTATTCACATCCATTTGAGTGATGTTGCCGTATTTTGGTTCCGGTCTTAGCGGAGTGATCTAAAATAACTTATTCATATACCTTATTTTCTATTTTACTGATGTTTTTACGAATGCCTTTAATCTCCTTCTGAAATTTCTCAAGTTCAACAGGCTTAAGTAAGCAAGAAGACTAAATTTTGATATAAGGATTTACATTGTTAGGGATATGCATGAGCCCAGAGCCTTGCTCAGTCTCACTATAGATTTATCAATAGGTGTCTTACTGATGGTGAGGACATTTAGAGTCGGGACTCTGCTTTGTATCCTCAAGAGTGTTTAGAGGGGCCTCTTTGCCTCTCATTTCTGCTATAAGTCTTTGTGATAATTACTATCATGTTCTTCAAGGACAATTTTGACTGCTTCAGTTAGTTTATGAAGATTCTTTCTGTGCTTTCTAAGGAAAAACTTGCTCTTCTTGCACATGTACTTATGGTATCCGTATTCCTAGAGCTTTAGGAGGATTCCAGTACCTTATGGAGCTCAAATTTGTCTCTAAGATCTTGATTTACTCTATTCAATCGACTATAAGAGTTAAATGAGGATGCTAAGAAGTACCTATAAGACCTAGGATTGCTCATATTCCCTCTAATGGTTCTTCTGACTCCAGGTTTCTTACTAATATCTACAGTTCAGCCGATTTTGAGCTTACTCAGTGTCTTCAAGAGATCTTTGAACATAATTGTCTTAGCATCTCTTCTCCCGATATGGGACGTTTTAAGCCTTTTTGAAGCTTTCGAAGGCTAAATTAAGCAATCTTCACCAAATTTTACCTTGCTATTAGGGTTATAAGTGCCCGGAAGGTCATAAGAAGGGGCAATATTTGGCCTAGATGGCGGGTTATGTCTCAAAGAAGATATTTTAGGAGTTTGATGCTTCTTGATGCTTGATTTAACTATAACAAGGTATGTTAACTTTAAAATTACGATTCCTACTAGTCTTTTGAGTTCTGGGATACTTTGATGCCTGAACACTCTTGCTTCTTCTGTTAGTTTTTACAAGTAAGTCTTACTCTAATTTATTTAAATGTAGCTATGATTCTTGCATTCTTAGGGACCTTTATTGCTAAATTGTTATAAGAATTGAGAATTATTTGCTGCTAATTTTAAATATATCCTCCAACATCCCACATTGTATTCTTAAATTGGGAAGCAACTCTTGGCATGAATCTGTGAAACAGAAATTTTAGTCAAAAAACTTCGAAAAGCAAGCTTATTTACACTGTTCGTCTGCATAGGGATTTAGGGTTGTATTCATTTTCAATATTTTTAAAATATACAGGGGTTTTGGGGTTTTGGGGTTTTGGGG